CAAAAAAAAAAAAAAGAAAGGAAAAGGTGACAGTCAGCGGCAGTGACACTGTATCTCCACAAGGGGGATGTCAACCTCCAGGCCCTGTGGTTCCTCTACTTCTCCATGAGCACCTCCTCCTCATCTTCCTCAGTGTTCTTCCTCTGTGGTGAGCAGGGATGTAAATACGTCTGGTGGCTGAATCGGACGCCCTGGACCACACCTGCTCACCCCATTCTCTCTCTCTCTCTCTCTCTCTCTCTCTCTCTCTAACACACTGTATAAACACACACAAACACACACTGGGAGTAGAGCGATGGGTCCACTGCTGCATTAGAGGGAGGACAGTGTCCCATTCAGAGGCAACACAACCCAACATAGTGTACATAATGGTTTCAGTGTATGTTTACATATAGACACAGTAGAGGTGTCCTGGGGGTAAAAGCATGTCCACACAACTCTCATCTCCAGGTTATCTGCAGTCGCTTCATCTGAGCCAGAGTCAGTGGAAGTGTGAAGTTTTTATTTCATTTGTTCTTTTATTTATTATTATTATTATTATTATTATGGTTTTGCATCACTGAGGCTCGATACGTCACCCTCTCCTTTGTTAAAATACTAAAAACATGTTAAGTGCCAGTGCTCTTACCTTCATCCTCGGCCTCCACCGGCTTCTCGTGTCGTTTATTTGGTTGTTTTATTCTTTCGATCTGCCGGGATGTGTTGGAGCTGAACGTCGGCCGGCGTGTTGTTCGTGTGCTGTGCATGTTTCCTGCTGAGGCCCGGCCATGCGTGCGTCCCTCTCGCACCCGTGTGCACAAGTGTCGTCGTGGGTCCTCACACAGGGCACCACTCTGAATCGGTTCTGTCTTAAGAATACATGTCTTACTTCTGTGGAAGAAAAAAAGTATATATTTATCACACACATCACTTCTCGAGGCACCAGTCTTTTCTTTTTCTTTTCCTCGGCCTGCCGGGAGGAAGTGACATCGGCGTGCAGTTGTGGTTGAGACACTGAGGGAAGCTTCAGTGAGGAGGTGAATACTGTTTCTTTTTGTTTTGTGTAACAGGAAATGGGCACTTTGTAATGGATGGGTTGTTTTGTTTTTCCTGGCCTGCAATGAGATGTCAAAATAAATTTTAAAAAAGCAAGTTTCCAAAGCTGACAGATGTTTTGAGATCAAACCCGTTTTCTTCTTTTACTGTGGAATAAAAGCAACTTTCTGGTTCATAAACTGGTTTCACTGACTGAAATCAAGTCTGTGTCTGAATCTGTGTTAATGACATCACACAGAATTAACATGTCAGGAATTTGGGGATCAGACTTGTGCCTGACCACATATTTCTATCGTGAAAACTTCCCTCACATTTACCTGAAAGCAAAAATAAGAAAATCTCCCAAAAGACAAGTGGAGGGATACATTTCCTTTATTTCTTGTGAAACCAGCCACTGTTCAGTATCTCATCTTCTTCATCACACATCTTTATTTCTTCTGTTGCATATGTTTGTGTGTGTTTCATAGACTGGCTGCAGAGGAACCACATTATATTCAGATTTGACATCTTATTAAAAAACAGAACTGATCCTTTAATCTGACGTAACTTCAGACAGAAGCAATTTAAGCTGCACTAAAGTTTAACTCTGTATCAAAGGGTATTTCTCAGCCCTTCATCCGTGTCTTCCTCACTTTAATACACTTTTTTAATCACTTACACTCTGAAATCACTCAAGTCTTTATCTGGTGCCTGGTTAGAAACAAAAAATCTCCCTGAAGCCATTTTCTTATAAGAGAGTTTAATATTCAGGTTTTCAGAGTAAAACTCAAAATAA